CATCCTAGATGCTCCTCCAATGAAGAATTGATGAGGAAGATGTTGGACATTTACCCAATGGAATACTGCTCTGTGGAAAAAAATAACAATGGAATCTTGAAAATCACAGGCAAATGGATGGAACTTGAAGGAAACCTCCTGAATGAGGTAACCTAGTCAACAAAATAAGAACATGGTATGTATTCACTGATATATATATTCGACATAGACCAAAGGATCACCAGCCTATATTTCATAATGCCAGAGAAACTAGGATACAAAGAGGATTCTAAGAGATTCATACAAGTTCCCTCATAGAAGGGGAAAAGAACTAGATCTTCTTAGCGTATTGGGAGCGTGGGGGGTGTGAGTGGAGAGGAGGCCAGAATAAAGAGTAGGGGAGGAAAGAAAATCACGTGGGACTAGGAAGATTTAGCCTGGGGAGGGTAAGACAAGAGAAAAGAAAGAAAGAGAGTGAGACAGCATGTGAGAGAGAGAGAGAGAGAGAGAGCATAAATGAAACATTTATTTGAAGTGGCTCACTTATAGTTTCAGAGATTCAGTCCATTTTCATCATGGATATAAAATGCTGGCGTACAGGTAGTTGTGGGTCTGGAGAAAGAGCTGAGAATCCTACATTCTGTAGGCAATAGGAAGTCTATTGAAATTCTGGGTGGTATTATGAGCATAGGAAACCTTTAAGCTTGCCCACACAGTGTCACCCTCCCTCCAAATGACCATACCCACCCCAAATCCAAGAAAGACAACCCTCCTATCAGTGGCACTCCCTTTGAAAGTATGTGGGCCAGCTACATTTAAACTGTCACTCACTAGCACTAGAAGTTTATAATAATATTATTGCAAAATTCATTTTTTTCAACTCTAGGAACCCCCAAAGTCTATAACAGTGTCTCAACAATGTTAGAAAGTTCAATGCTGCTTCTGAGAATCCTTCAATCTCTTAATTGTAATCACCCATGAAAATCAAAATCAAAAAGCAGATCATATACTTCTAACATATAATGGCACAGGGTATACATCAACATTCCAAATAAAGAGAAGAGTGAGGAAATACTGGGCCAAGGAAGACCAAGAAACGAATGGGCAAACTCCAAACTTTCCATCTCCATGTGATGTCAAAATCCTCTTAGATCTCCAACTCTATTCAGATTTGTTGACTGCAAGCCACTTCTTTCTATTGGGCTGGATGCACTTCCTGTTAGCAGCTCTCCTTGGCAGATATTCCTTGACTCTGTCATCTCTACCATCACATTTCTGTGTACCACATGCATGACTCATGCTGGAAAAGGTCAGAACAAGGCATCAGATCCCCTAGAAGTGAAATTACAGATGGCTGTGAGCTGCTGTGTAGTTGCTGGGAATTAAGCACAGGTCCTATGGAAGAGCCAACTGGACCCTTAACATTTTACCCATCTCTCTAGCCCTTTCTTGTGAAAAATTTTAAGCATGCCAACTAATGTATGTATTGAAGTGTGGCGCGCCCCTGACCAGCAGGGGAAGAAGACCACCTACACGAGGATCCTTCTCTGATCACACTTTATTGAAGCACTTCTTGATTGAGGGAGAGCTGGAGGTGAGGGGCACGCAAGCAAGGAAGGGAGCGGCTTATATCTAGGCAGGATGGGTGTTCCTTCCTGAAAGGACACCAGTCAGTCTGGGATTGGTGCATAGCTGTTGCCAGGCAGACTCGAGGAGGGCACGTGCCAAAAACAGGGTTGTTTACAACAGTCCTTGGCGCCATCTCGTAATGGCGAATTGTGTGGGTTCCCACATTGAAGGTTAGATTTGTTCCTTGGTAAGGGTTTCCTATATCTGGCCATAATAAAAATTTACTCTCTTTCATAGCTATCATCTCATTGTTCTTAATCCATTTACATATAACCTGTTTTGCTGTAAGGGCTATTATGCAGGCAAATGTCAATGGATTTGTTAAAGCCTACCAGTAAAATAATTTGGGTACTTCTTAATTAGTTATGTGATTTAATCATTTCATATTCAGTAGATTGTATTTGTCAGGACCTCTTCAATTATCACTCACTACACACAGAAGCTGGGAAAGATGTGTGTCTACTGTAGGTATTAAATGAAATAATATTAAAAAAAGAATAAAATTCAGAAATTTAAATATTCATGTGTATCTATAAGTGTACTTTTCTCAAAAAGTATATGATGTGAACTTAGGGAAAGTTTGGTACATGTAGAAAACAGGTAGTGGATGCTGCATCCTGAGTTGCCTGAAAGGGCAAGTTTGCCTAAGAGCCAGCTGGAAAGGTCAGCAGCACACTGGAAAAAGATGTCAGTTCTGGTGAAATTTCCATAGATGTCAGGCTATTTGGCGGATCCTAAAGTGGAGTACTATTGTATTCCTGTTGAATTCTTCCCTGTCCTTGCAGGAGAGTGGAAAATGTGAATGGCATTTGGATCTGAAAATGTTTTGGAAATTAGTGAAAACTGGAAATTAGTGAGAACTAATGAAGTTTTCCTGATTTAATTTTTCTGTCTAGATAGGCCAGTATTCTCCAAGTTGGAATCCAAGAAGAGTGCCACCAAACAAGACTCTGTGGTAAGAATGGGAAATTGAATTCTACCCATGGATCCGTAACTAGCTTCTTGGTTTTATTAGAATAATGCTAGAACAACCTTGTGATATCAAAATATTAATACAATATACTTTTAATTTTTGTTAACATTTTCATCCTTGTGTTGTAATGTTCTGGAAATAGTATAAATCACTAGCCAAGTTTTGATTTTTTTTTTAACTGCAATCCCAGCATTTGGACATGGTGAGGCAGGAGGAAGGTAATTTCAAGGCCAGTGTGCTCTATCTAAGAAGAACTTGTCTCAATAAACCACATAGGCTGAGGAAATGGCTTATAAGTTAAGAGTACTGGCTGATCTCCTAGAGAACCTCACTTTCATTCCTAGCACTTAGTGATGATCACAACCCTTCTTCACTCCAGTTTCAAGTGATCTATATCCCAATTCTATCCTTCCAGAACTCTGAGTGTTTGTAGTATGCATGCAGACATATGTTCATGTAAAACACCCATTCCTGGGTGGGACTAAAAGAAAGAGACCATACATGTCTTATTTCAATAAGTACAACTTTTAAATGGACATCAAAGTTTCTGTACATTCTGTGCACTATTTCATATTTTCTACCTTCTAATCTTATTTGAATCTTAAAAAATATTTTAGATTTTTAAATATAGCATTAATTTGGATCAAGTAGAAATTGTAAACACCTTAACCATTTTCTTTTTTAATTTATTTTATATAACCAAGTCCATTTAAATGAAAACAAATATTTATAGACAGTATTTGCGAATTTGGGTGTCGTTCTTTCCAAACTGCTTCCTTGTGGTAAGGGGTGCTGTTATGGGGGATTCTAAGAAGATGCAGAAATCCTGGCTGTAGTCTATAAGGATGCTTTGTGCAGCTGTTTTGAATGTAGGATCACCTGGTACTCTGTTTCAGGCAGTATGGCTTGATCAAACCACATTAGTCTGGAAGAAATCCACAGCTTTTCATTTTCTGTGGAAACAAAAATAGAAATCCTTCTCCCCAGTAATTTGTCCTTGAACTTAAATTGTGGAGTCAAAGCATTTTTTTATTTAATTAATTTTTTTACATGTCGATTGCAGTTCCCACTCCGTCCCTCCCTTCCTCCCTGCCTTACATCCAACCTCCCTTCATTTTACCGTCTCTGCCCTCTCACTTGCACCCTAACCACCCTCCCCTCCCATCCCCCACCCCAATTCCATATGTAGGGGAATGCCATCCAGTTGGGGTCATGTATATCTAACAGGTCATGTGAAGTAGGGACTAGGGCTTCTCTCCTGTCTCTAGATTAAGGCAGTTATCCCTCCATGGGGGATGTGTTAGCAAGGTCCTTTTGTGCAGCAGTGATACATCCTGGCTCCACTGTCTGAGGTCCCTTAGACTGCTCAGTCTTTCTGGCTGAGACCCATATTCATTGAGGCCTGAGTCAGTCCCATGCTGGCTTCCCAGCTATAGTCTGGTGGTCTGTTAGCTCCTCTTTGTTCAGGTAAGCTGTCTCTTCCACCTGTGTTTCTGTCGCCTGGTCTTGTCCTCTCCATCTGCATTTGGGTTCTAGTTTGACTCAGTGTTTATGTATGGGTATTTGCTCCTGTTTCCAACAGGTATTCCATGAGGGCTCCATGGATAAGTTGTCGATCTCACTCTCAGTAAAGGGCATTTATGGTAGCCTTTCCATGGATGCTCAAATTTTTTAGTTGGTGGCAGTCCAGTAGTTCTCTAGACCTTTCTTTGTGTTCAATTTTATCTTCAAACCAATATTGGCTCTCTCTCTCTCTCTCTCTCTCTCTCTCTCTCTCTCTCTCTCTCTCTCTCTCTCTCCTGTCTTCTATTCTTAACTGGGCTATATCTTCCTGGTCGCACGTGTTTTCCTTTCCTCCCCCTCCTTTTCTCCTACTCCTCTCTCCATTCACTGCCCCCGTTCCTGCCACTTCCCCTGTGCTCTGGGAGACCAAACAGCATCTTAACCATTTTCATTTCCTGTGTGTTTGATAAATGTGTACGGTTATTTTTTTCTTTTTCCTAAATATAGGGTTTCAAAGTAGCAATGGTTCCAGTCATGAAAGTCACTCTATTGACAAGGCTAGCCTTGAACTGACAGAGATACACCTCCCTCTACCACCTGAGTTCTGGGATTCAATCCCTCTACCTCAACTTCCTGGTGTATATCTAGTTTAAAAAGTATCTGTTTTGATCTTCATGAACTATAATTTTGTTTGAGAGTGTGCTAGGTGTGTTACTACCATGCTTAAAGATTTCTGTTGAGTTCGTAAAATTACTTAGGACAGAAAACAAGGACATCCTCAACCCATGTGGAAGACTGAGCCTGTTACCATTCTTGCTTCAACATCATGGAATGCTTTCTTCTTTGCCTGCCACTCCCAGGAAAGGAGCTGTGAATTAAGCCACTACACAGACTAATGATTGTGACTCTGTTACAGAAGGCAACTTTTCCAAACTCTGGCCCTGCTGATTGCAAAGTGGCTGTCTATGGCTTGACTCCTCCACTGGTGGCCAACGTTTCAGGCCCTAGAGATCATGGATGCCCTGCCATTCCACAGAATCCAAGAGGCCAGAATACACCACCACCTTATCCAGATGCTCGAAAGTATGTCCCATCAAAGGGATTTGCAGGCCCAAGGTTTCCTCCAAAGTCAGGTAGGCTTTTTAAAAGGCCCTTATATGAAAAATATGTATCTGTGTGTTCCTTCTAGTCTGGTTCCTGTTACTATGAGAAACACTGTCCAGAAGCAACTTGAGGGAGAAAGGGTTGTCATGGCTCACAGGTAACGGTCCAGCAGCAAAGAAGTCAAGGTTTCACCTTGAACTACCTTAGGGAATTTTGAATTTTAAATGTACTGTGATAGTTCAGAAGATCATCAAATTTACAAGCACTTTTTTTTCTCCTCAAGGCAGGGTTTTTCTATAGTTTTTGAGCCTGTCCTGGAATTCACTCTGTAGACCAGGCTAAGCTTGAACTCACAGAGATCCACCCATCTCTGCTTTCCAATTCTTGGATTAAATGCCTGTGCCACCAATACCTAGCTAAAAACCGGTTTCAGGTCAAAATTATGCATATATCATTTTATAGAAATGTGTACTGAGGCTAATATTTACATTAATTACTTATATTTTGTCTTAAGATTACTGGCTAAAGTGTTTAAAATTATTTCTTCTAGGTAGTTGTTCCCACATTATCATATTTAAAATCTAAGATCATATTAATTATTTGCTGAATTCATTGAAATTTCTTCTTACACTTACATTTTAAAATAAAAGTTACTGCTTTTACAGCATACTTTCCCCTTTGGAATCAGAAGTTTCTACACAATAAATCATGTTTTAAAGTAATAGAGAAGAACCAGCTTAGTTACCCCTTCCTGTTCTCTTCCCTCATATCTAATCTTAACCTTCCAAGAGTATGACATGTATTTTCTTTTGGAAGTTTTGTAGTTGTTCTTATGTTGGTGTTGTTCTTATGAATCCCATGTAGGTAAGAAGTCCACTTTAAATATCAAGATTATTTATAAGATCAAATATTGTGGTGTGAGTTTTGTTTACCAGTATAGGCTGTATTTTGTGGTTTACCGTGGGTGCCATACAGGATTTCAACCTCCATTGTCCTTTACTCATCTCTTGCAACAGGGTAGAATGTGTACAAACTGAAGGGCTTTCCACTTAGCCTTCTCCCAACTTCTGGGTTCTTCCTCCACCCTCTCTTTTGAGAAGTAGAAATGAACTCTCTCCATACTTGATTCTGCCTTCCAAACAATCTGCCCCAGAACTTCCACAAACACAGGAGACCTGATCATTTCTATGGCTGTCATTTCTTCTCATTTTCAGTTCAAGATCACTTTTGTTACTTATGTGATTATATTGTTGCTCAAATTGCAGCTTAATGGAAACATATTGTCAGGATAGTAGTTTGTAGAAAAGATGATTTAAATAAGAATCTTATGAGTAAATCATTTCCACTTCATTTTATTCTGCATAGTGTATTTTACTTTGATTATGTCATCCATAATTGTGGAAGTTTTATACAGGCAATCTCATAATTGATGTATCTTAAACTCAAAAAGTTGTTTCTTTATTCAAGAAATGTGTTCACCATGATTGTAGGCAAAAGTAAAGGTAACTGTGTGTTTAATCAAATGAATTTTAATTGATTTAAAGCATTGTTTGTCTTTGGTATTACTGAAAACAGCCAGTTTCGCAAAAACATTTTCCACTAAATTAGTCTTTTCACCTGTGCAAAAAATTAGTCCTTCAAAAGAGAATTTTGTGGGACTGGACTGATGGTGACTCATTAGTAAAGACTGGAATCTAGTGCAGACAAGAGGACATGGTCTTGGTTCCTAACATCCGCATGGCAGTTCCAATCCCAGGGAATCCAATGGCCTCTTTGCCTACAATTTCACAATGTATGTATGTGGTGCTTACCATTACATTAAGTTCACAGATATTCATGAAGTATACCAACATGAATATAGTGTACGAGGCATTCATTGTTGCAAAAGGCATACACGTAGTGCACTAAGCATGCATGTAGAGCACAGGCATGCATGCAATGCTATGTACAATATGCTTGCCCATGTTATACAGCATACAAGGTATGTACCAGCATGTATGTAATTCTCTATACATGTATGTAGTTCATGGTTGTGAGTATATAGTCCAGAGGCATGCAAGTACACAAAATACTTGCATACATAAATTACAGAAAGAAAACTAAAAATAACAAAACAACATAAAATATTTTTCTTTTTCTTTTTTTTTTTTTTTTACGTAAATTAACCCATTTATTAGAGGCAGGGGTTCTCAAGCAATAGCATTTCTACTGGTCTTTCAGTTCCTTCAGTCTTCTGATGGCAGACTTCACTGTGACTGCAGAAGTAGTGTTGTATGTCTGGGCCCCAACCTCCACTGAATTCATGCAGGAACCACAGTGCCAGATGCCAACTGCTCATCTCTTAATCTTGGTCTTGCCACAGAAGGAGCAAGTGTACTTGGCGTGCTGGCTGATTTCAATTTTCTTCACCATTTTCCGGAGGGAGGCACCAAAGCGGGTCCCGTACTTCCCGATGATCCCGACCATCTTGGCGCGTTTAGCCATGTATCTGGAACCTAAGCCCAAGCCCGGAGAGCACATTTTTCTTTTTTCTTTTTCATTCTTTCTTTCCTTTCTTTCTTTCTATTTATTTATTTAATTATTTATTTTGAGACATGGGACAGGGTTTTTCTTTGGCTTTGGAGGCTGGTCCTGGAACTAGTTCTTGTTCATGAAGCTGGTCTCAAACTCATTTAATCTGCCTGCCTCTGCCTCCCAAGTGCATGGATTAGAGGCATGCACCACCATTGCCTAACCAACATTTGTGGATTCTCTGATTTGAGTATCTTACAAAGTATGCACCCTACTACTTTTAGTTAGATATAAATGACCCAAAATAAAGCAATACATTTTAAAACCTTAAATATGTTTTATACTTGAAAGAAAGACAGGATATTGTCTAATTGTCTAATGAATTTCAGGATTTTCTTTTGTCCACTGACGAGTTTTAAGGTTCAAAACCAATGGGTGTGTGTGTGTGTGTGTGTGTGTGTGTGTTTGAGAGACAGATATACAGAGAGAGAGAGCATGCACAAGCAGACACAGGCACACCCAATTTCATGCTGGATGTATGGTGATTAGTTAATAGCTTTTAAGATAATTTTTCTACAGTAGGTTATTTAGAGAGCTCAGGGTCTCAGGCTGACACAGTGAGTAATTCCCCTATATCCTGGCAGTTCTACTGACTGGTTTCTTAGATAATTTCTTGATGGGAGGTGCCATTATGTATATATGTTTCTCGTACTGGTTAATAATAAAGCACTGTTGGCCAATAGGAAAGGAAGATAGGAGGGGCTAGGAGACAAGGAGAAAAGAGGAAGTAGTAAGGAGAAGCCAAGATGGAGAGTTGGGAGAAAGCAGTATGCCAGCCGGCTCCCCGGTAAGAGAAATACATAGATCAGCAGAAATGGGTTAATAATTAAGATAGAGCTAGCCGATAAGAAACAAGTAACTGGGCCAACAGAATGATATCTAATACAGAGTCTCAGTGTATTAATTAGGGCTGGCGCAGCGGCGGGACAAGACCAGCAGCGGCATGCGAAAAAACCGTACTCCTTACAATTTCTGGTTCTCTCATTTTGACTATCTAGTTATTGATTTGTTTGTTTCTTAGAGACAGGGTTTTTGTGTGTGTAGCTTTGCTTGTCCAGGAACTTTGCTGTGTTGACCAGGATTGTCTTGAATTTGGAGCCATTCCTGTTTCTTGCCATGGAGTGCTGGAATTAAGGGTGTGAATCTCCACATATTTCGTTTTATTCTTAATGTGTGAAATGTTGCTTGTTTTCTGTGGGTTGGGTTGAGAGAGCTGACACCATGTAACTTTCCTGAGGCACCTCTTTCTGAGGTAGGGAGTTGAAGTGTCTTCAGACTGGTGTTCATGTTCTTGGTCTTACATACTGATAGGAATGGAGGGTGAGACCTAACTAATGAATTTCCCATCAGTGGGTTGAATCGGTGATTTTTCTCTATTCAGTTGGATTTTGCTTAGGTGTCAAGGGATAGCATAAGAACTCATTCTCTTGCACAGAGCTGTGATAGTGACTAGAATGGTTCCCTAGTGTCATTGGGAACACTCAGTGGTCAGGAGGTGTTTCTGCTCCAGACAGAAAGCAAAGCTTTGTACTGAACACACTGTTTCCCCCTGTTCTGTTTCTACATTTTTACAACATGTATTTCTACCTCATCATTCCCATTTTATTCTTGACTGAGCAGATTTAAAAGAACTTACGACTGGTATTTATTTACAATAAAGTTTTATTCTGAAACTTTTGTAATCTTGACATCATTATATCTCTGTTTCAACCTGTTTTGATTCTTTCTCTTCCTGGACCACTATTTTACCATCTGTTAGCTATTTCTATTCCCAAAATGCTATTAATTTTACCGTGCATAAAATCATGCATAATGGTTCTATATCTGACCTAAAATTACAATTCAAGAAATTGAACTCATGATTTAAGGGCTAATTCTGGCCTGAAGTAATCACATACTAAATTTCAGTCCCTTTCTCTGTGAATCCTAGACACCCAGTTTTATGCTATGTCATAATTTTCTCTTAGCATCAAGACAAGAGCCTGAAAACACATTTAGATTCCCTTACACTTTGGGTTATTGAAGTAATAATGGGAAGGGTTAAAGCTCAAGAAATTGAATCAAGCATTTCTTTTCACCAATACAAATGTATAATCATAGGTTACATGAGTAACATTCTCTGCTTCATCTTCATTTAAAAACAAAACAGAAAAGCAATATATAATCCTTAGAAAGGTAGACAATGGTAGATACAATGGAAAGCATCTGTTCAGAAGCGATGTTAACAACTCTTCAGAGGATGCTGCCATGTGGCTTTTGTCCTTCAACTGCCTTTTAAAATATAGATTCTTGTACTGACAGCATATTGTATATTTATATAGATCCATGAACATATTTTTAAAATATTTTTTTTTCATTTCACATAGAAACAACATATTCTTCTCACTCTCCTTCTGCACAATGACGCACTTCCACCAATAAGGCCATACCTCCTAATAGTGCCACTCCCTTTGGGAGCCATTTTTTCCCAAACCACCACAGTTGGCCTCTCACACAGATTGTGAGACATTTCCTCTGCCTCTTTTTGTAGGCAGGACTACTTGCAAGGTTAAGGTTTTGTTGCTGAGTTGGTCTCTCAGTCCCTCCATTT